ATAGACCGAAAACACGCATTGCTGTTGCTGCTGCTTCTACTCTGGGCCGCACCTTGTGTGTGTGCCTATACGTATATCGCATGGAGAAAGAGCCTCTCCAACGCCGATCGATCTCTATACGGCTGCTGCTGCCGCTACTGTTGCCTGTACACAGCACCGTTTCGTTGTCTTCAACAAATCGACGCTATTTCGCTTTCGTATATATACCCATGCTCCTTCGTACGTGTAACGCGGTTATCGGCATATTATGTTGCATGGCAGCGTCTATGCCATATAACACATCGCTATTGTTCCTCCTTTTGCGCGCGCGTACGGCAAATAAAAAGGCTTTTCTTTTTTTCGCGAGAATTCGATGAGCCGTTGGCTGCTCGAGCTGACGCCGCTCGACGCCCGAATTTCTGTTCCGAGATGCAAACAGAATAAAGATGATGTTTCACTCGGTTAATATTTGCCGCTTCAATCAATCAATGTAACTCTAGCCGCACCGATGGCCCCAGCGTGCGCAATTTGCGTCGAAAAGCAGCGTAATCGCTCGCAACTAATATTTATCGATAATAATGCGATCGAAGAAAGAAGGGCCGAAACTGATTTTCACGCGCGTCGCGCGCAAAATGAAATTTTTAATGCCATTCCGAGCGATGGAAACTTGCTCGCCGACTTTTTTTTCTTCCTCGCGCGTACGAGTATAAGAAGTGCTATTCAACTCGAGGTGTATGGTAGATGTGTGAAAGTTTTCGTGTGTAAGCGAAAAGGCCACGTGCCGCGCGTGTGCGGCTGTCAAGTTTTTTAGCGCGCGCGCGCGCGTGAGTGCACTCTTGGACCCAACGGACTTCAAAAAGTCTTTTGAAAGAACAATTTTGTACCATACACCGCCGAGTTTAGAATGCAAGCAAAAATATTATTTTCACGAGTGCCGCTACTTCACGCGATTACCGATCGAAGAAAATTGCCGCCCTGTACGTGTTTCGTACGCTCGATTCAATTTTCACGTCCATACGTGTTCGAGAGCTTTATAATATGCCGAATGAAAATTGAGATCGATGCGAGATGGATCGAGGCGATTTCGACTCGCGGAATCAATAATCTGCACCTCTGGCTCGATATACATGCTTCAACGATAACAACGAAGTATTTAATCGCTGTCATTCGTTACGTAAGGGCCGATGTATCCGGGCGAGATACAAGGCGTGCATTAATAATCTTGGCGTGTGCGCGGCCGGCCCGTGATATCATACACCAAGACCGAGCAGCAGCAGCAGCAGCGCGTGCGGAGCTCGACGCACAATCAAAGCACTGTGCACTGTGCGCGTCTCCGCGGCTCTCAGAGACTCGTGCACTCTCGAGCTCTCTTCGCCACTGTGTATGACATGGCCATCTTTTTTTTTCTTCTATTCAAAAAGTAGAGAGAAGCGAGTCTCGCGCCATCGGCCGCGGGCCGTCTATAGCCGCAGAGAGGGAAAGAGCGAGTCTCGCTCGCTCTCTCCATGTGGTTGAGCTTTGTGTCCAGCTAGGTAAATATTGGCGGAGGATGATGAAGCCCTCTTTTTCTCGTGCGCAGCACAGCTCTTCTTCTTCTTCTTCTTCTCCTGCCTTCTTTTTCTGCTGCTGCTTGTCGTCACCGACGACTCTCGGTGTGGCACAGCCACAATCTCTTTCTCGTTTTACACTCGTGGCCGTGTCGCTGCTACTGACGATGCGAGAGACGCTCGTCGTTTGATGACTACCATATCAAACGAGACGACCACCGGCGACCCGCTTGCAATAAAAACTCTTCGCTAGGCAGCTTCGCAGGGTCAATAATTCTTAATTGCCTTTGGCCTATACGTTCGACGGGGATTTTTTCTGTGCTTTTTTTTATTCGTAATTCAATTAAGTTGGAACATGTGGGCATTTTTTTTGTTATTGCAATTGGAATTGCATATATTCATCGAGTCTATGCGGTACGAAATAAAGTCAATTCGAGTTCGTCGACTCCGATTCTTGCTTGTAAACACAAAAGCTCGTCGCAGGCATTTAAAATTATCTTTTTCGAATACATTTCGCATTTTCCCTTGGGACTGCTCGAACACGCTCCATGTTTCACATCGGAGTCCAACTCGCAAATGTATGTGTAAACATACATACGTAAAAGCCACGATGGGATATATATGTGAGGGAAAATACTTTATCAAAGAAAAGCTCCACGTGATGCTTATTGAGAGGAAGAGCTTAATTCAGCTTGAGCACATACGCAGCAGGAATGTCAGTACATCCATATAATTCTTGGGGAGGTATATACTAGCGAAATCTTCAAGATGAAAGTATTTTCATTTTGCCGAAACGTTGCCAGCTACTTATTTCTTACTATGTGTGCGTAAGAAAAACATCTAAATATTCGTCTGAGATAGGCGTGGAATTGCAGTAGTATACGCTGATTCATCTTCTGTTGCGCGTTAGTGTGACTGCCCGTATGATTCACCATGTGCATTACATTTATGTTTATTTTTTTTTAAATTTTTATTTAATAAATCAGAATTCATACCTCAAAAATTGGATGCGAAGAGTTGGCGATGAAAATAAAAAAAACATAGTCAATCATGTATGTTGAGTGATATGTCTAATGGGTTAAAAGAAATTACTTTTTAACAATGGTAACAAAAGGAAGAGAGGCGACACGCGATGTGCAACAGATACGAATCTAATTTGAATTTTCGAGGACATTGAAATATTAGACCATAAAACTATTAACTAAAATTTTAGTTACTTAATCATTAAAGCAAAAAAAAGTCATTTCGCGTAAAATGACCGATATCCCTGTTGCGATAGAAATCTTATATTATTCTGTTACGTGGTAATGAAATTTGAAATGTAACACGTTCGCTCGTGAAAAAATATTTTCGTACTAAAAAATGAAAAAAAAACTCGATAAAGTTTTTGTGGGAAAATCAGTTTTTAGCAGCATGAGAGAGAGAGAGAGAGAGAGACAAGCTCGGGCGCGCATACATAACAATATTTGACAAGTGGCATGTGCAGGTATTATACATTCTCGCTTTATACATAGCTAAATCCATATTTTCCTAGAAGTCTCATTTCTCTCAGGCTTGCCGGAGCTCGGAAAATGTCAAATCGCGCGGTGGCTCTATTCCCCCAACTGCATACAGAGACACACACTCGTCCGAGAACGCGCGCGGGTCGCGTGCATCCCCGAAAATATTCTCTTTCTCGCTGCTATATAGCTCCGCTGCTGCACATGCAGTAGCTCCGGAAACTGAATTAAAGCTCCCGAATTATCATTCAAATCTTTTCGTTCTCTCTGTGTCTCTTTGCTCTGTCTCCTTCGTCGTCGTCCAACTAAAAAGAGGCTTATAAATGGGCGAAATTCGAAAATGCCTCGGCGTATACGGAGTAACTCGATATAGGTAGCTGGGAGCGGGGGATTATGTGTCGCATTCAGCGCATCGAGGGTAAAAAATGAGCGAACGTTTCGCGAGCATGAAATGAGATTTCGCACGCTTGCGAGAGAGAGAGAGGCTACTTTATATAGCGAGTTGCGCGCGGCGTCGAGCTTGCGACGAGGAACATACGTACTGCAAGCTCGGTGGTATATACGGCCGACTATATAACTCGTATATAACTCATCGTGTCGTGTCGCGCGCTTATAATTATCCCGACTTGTGTGTGCCGCGCGTATACGTGCACTGTAATCGCGTATATGTACGGAGCTGTGAGCGCGCATGAATGACACGCGGCCACCTGTGTGGTCGGCTGCACTTCACGCCCGATTCACGCAGCGGCCAGCTGAAAACGTATACGCGCGGCAAAGCCCTTTTACACGAGCTGCGCAAAATTACGTTCTTTCGGGGCGATTTACCGAGCCAAGATGATTTTCCCTTTATGAACGAACGTAGCAGCGAGTTCCGTACATGGAATCGAGCTCGCAGTTGCAATCGGTCGCAGTAGCATTTACCGCGTCGAGCTCTCCGAGGCTCGCAACCGAAATCATTAATCATTCGAGATAAGGATAATAATTCAGGTGGCATGATAGCGTATCCACCGGGCTCCTTCGATTCCCATTTGAGAATATTGCGTATTCGAGCGCGCGTAAACAGGGCCCGTGTGCGGGAGGATTACATCCCTCATCATCATCGTCGTCGTCGTCGTTGTCATTAAGCAGGTACATATGTATGCGTTCCTACTCTGACCACGGGTCATCGGAGCAACAACCGCTTGCAGCCGGACCTGCACTTTGATTCACCCGCATGAGGGCCAGGACGCAGTGACGCTACTAGATAGTCCGCTACCTCCTGACGATTTCTCGCTCGCAGAAATTGAGCTGAAAAATCGAGTCGACACTCGAAGCGGCGGCCGTCAGGATCCGAAGCACAAGAATATAGATCAGCAGCTGCACCTCGCTGGCTGATAGTTGTTGTTGCTGCTGCTGCTGCTCGACGCTTGGACTATACGGACTCGGTGGCATCGCCATCACTGGGCTCGCTGAACTATAGGTAGCTCTCTCTCTTGGCACACATATACAGGTATAGGCAGGGCGAAAGAGAGAGAGACCGAGACTCACCTGTGCAGGCGCCGCATAGCAGTCACAGGAGAGAGAGCAGAGCAGAGCGGAGCGGAGCAGCAGCAGCAGCAGCAGCGAGCGCACGCGTATAAGAGTTTTGTGATAGAGAGGGTTGCTCCGCTTGGCTCTGCTTCTCTATCTGTATGCGTGCTGTTTACGTGAGAGCTACTGCTGCTGCTATACATATATACTGGGCGCTGTGCACAAGACGCGTCGCTCGTCCCATGTGTAGGGGTGCTGTTGTATACACACATAAATGTCTACGTGTGTGTATATATACATACATACATATATATATATATCGGGGGATAGGACGGGGGTGGGATAGAAAAGCCGCGTGTCGTTCGCGCAAAGACTATACCTTTCTGCCGAGGCTGAAAGTAGTCCGCGCGTAGAGCTTACCTCGAGCGTATCGTGGCCCGCGTCACGCCTGCGTCGACGTGTATATAGAAGAGAGCGAGAGAGTAACGTGTGAATGGCCAGATCTCGCCCGAAGCTCTGCGATCTGCGACCCTCGAGCGCGCGCGCGAGCCCGCCAAAATAACACTTTTTTTGCGGCGCCAGCTCCTTTTCTTTTCTCTCCCTTTTCTTTTTCTTATCGTTTTCTTCGTCGACTGTGCTTCTGTGATTGTATGAATCTTGAATAAAAAAAAAATTGTGCGAAATTATGAAGAGGATCAGTGCCGAGGTTGCCGTCGACTTGTCGTGCTTTATTGTACAGCCAGCAGTAGCAGCGTCGAGCTCCTTCGCAAGCGGTCGTTGTTGCTCGAGGTCCAGGTGAAAGTTTCCAGGTGCGTCGCAGCAGGCGTAACGCAACAAGACGGGTGGACGTATACACACGATGGGGATTGGCCGGATTTTCGTCGACTGCAGCAGTCGAGTCGCCGCCACCGACGCAGCTTAACGATTGTCCTGCAAGCTCAGCTCGATCGCCCCGCGCATGCATGGCCTACACGACAGATACTGTTGAACAATATTTAGATTATACGTAGCCGCTCCGCAAGTCCGATATATCATATAGCATTTATTTCGACGATACACACAAGCGCAAGGGGTGCAAGGTGAGCTATTTTTTCCTCTTTGCTCGTTACCTTTTTTTTATTTATATACATTGTACGCGAGCGATCTACTGATCGCGTGTAGGCGCGGACACACGTACATATACACACACGGCCGAGCGCCGGCTCGACTAATATAACAAAAAAAAAAAAATATTCAGCAAGCTTTCGAAATGGGAGCTTCTCGTACCTAGTGTTTTTTGTTGCTTTCTTTCTGTTTCTTTTTTCTTTCGTTGTTGAAATGGTTGAGATTTCGTTTCGGAGTTATTTTGTAATCCGCCTCCCAGTGCACGCTCACGGATTTCGAACAATTTTAATTGCTTTTATCGAGTGGTTATTTAGCCCACTAATAGTCCCACACGTATCCACCAACGAGTGGATGTATAAAAAAAATTCGAATATTATTATTGTCGGACTCGAATATGTAGCATGCAAGTTTTTCATATTTTACGACTATCGATTAAAGTTTTAACCCTGTACGTGCACCTGAAAGTATGATTTTCCTGCTTTTACTTTTTTTTTCCTCCTCTTAATTTTATCCTCTACTACCGCTCCATCCTCGGGGCTTGATAATGTGTGTGTGTGCCCAGCGATACAGTTACTCGTTAATCGCTCATCTAAAAGTAGATTGAAAATAAAAGAGGAATCGAGCTCGGGAGAAAAGCTCGTAACTGCCGCCACGGCGTTATGATGCAAATTTTCAAAGCTCCGAGAGATAGCGAGAAACTCGGCTTTCCTAGATACATACGTATATAACGTATTATAATACCTCACGCTCGTTGCCGCTCGTTAGGCATATGGAAGAGAGAGAGAGAAAGAGGAAGGCCGCCGCCACGCTTCCTCCGTCAAGCTGCTGCTCTCTATATTATATACTGCCGTCTCCGCCCGGCCCGAACTTGTCATTATATTAAAGCCAGGCTGGGGGAAGATAGAGCTCGATTTTTACTCGACGGTAGTGGATCTCTTCTTCTTTTTTTTTTCTTTTTGCCGCCACCGCCGTTGAAAAGAGAGCGCAAAAGCCCTCAAAGAAAAGAGAAATTGAGTATAAGCGCTAGCTCCATGCCTCGAAGAATAATGTACGTGACGCTTTCGTGTCTTCGTCTTTCTTTTTTTCGCGGGCGCGTCGTCGATTCGTGATCGCTGCTGCTCTCTCGCTCTCTCTTCTTGTCCTACAAAGTCGTCGCCTTTTTTCTTGCAGCGGCCGATAATCCATCTATTTGATTTCGATGTCTTGGCGTCACCAGCGCGCGAGCGGTTGACACGCTTTGACCCGATCTCGCTGACGAATTAACGTCAGCCGATCTGGTAAATACCGGAAGTCTCGATAACGCAATATCTATTCGCCCAATCGCCTAATAGAAATACGATCATCGCTCGGCCTTCATTCGAATCCTATGTATTTCATTTTTGAGCACGCGCCAGGGGGTGTATTTCGATATACACAGCTGATGTATTAATTGAAATTCACGCAGGTTGCTGACATTGAGATAAAAGTATATATAGAATTTGATCTAGTGCATATATGGATAAAATTGGGGGAGAGAGAGAGAAATATATATAAATATGAGATCTGGTTTCAATAGTTAGTATTTGCGCTATCGTTGACGTGCGAGCACGGTAGCGACGAAAATGGTGTCAGTGACGCCGCTGCCCTTTGTTTATCATCCGTAAAAATACTCCCTTATACATTTATATATTTGTGTCGCGGCACCGAAAGAGAGACCATGCACGAAAATGAAATGTTTAATCCCGAAGGAAATTCGATCTCTCGGAGTGTACTCGAATGTGTACATCTTACCCTTCGAGAAATTCATTTACAAAATTCGATGGAAATAACAAAAGTTTCGTCGATCGCGCGCTATGGATCCATGTTCACATGTATACCTGTATATATCGGCCGTGCGCTCGAAATTATCAGTTGAGCGATTCCGCTGAAAGAAACATTTTTTACCTTCGTATATAGCGGCGGTGCACGTGCTGTATGAAAAGCCGTATTTCACGTTGATACTCGGGGCTGCGTGCATGCGCGCATGACGGCCAGAGCAAACGAGAGCGAGAGAGAGAGAGAAAAAACAACTCGACTCTGCTGCTGCCGCTACTGTTGCTCGTGTGCTCCACATGCACGCGCTTACCTATAATATACACTATACACAAACAAACGATCGTCTAATGCACGCCAAGAACAAAAACATTATAATACATGTATGCTCGAGTATATAAACATCTACCAGGAGGCACCGAGCTTGCACGAGAGAAATACAGAGAGAGACGGCGAAAAAATAACAAATATCCGCAGCCGAGCGACGAAGAACCACTACGAGCGATAATCCTCGGCTGAAAAAGTCCAACCTGGCCTATGTATTATACGCTCTATTATATCCTCCTTTCGTCCTTTGTAAACCCGATGTTAAGCAAATAATATTCGCCACCGACGCCGATATATCTATGGCGCTAAACGCGCGACGAGCGCTGATATACGTGCGGGCTTACTACGTTCGACTGGTTATCGGTAAAAGGATTATGATATCCCTTGGAATTTCACACCGGCGTACGCGTCATAATATGCATTCGCTTATTAATGCTTCGTTTCCTTCTACACGCTCCTATCAAATTAATGCGCTGTAGCGCCTCTCGCAGCTGTAATGCACTCCGACTATATATATAATATATCTGTGCTGTTCGCGGGCCGGGCAAAAATCTCCACTGTCTGAGCTTTAATTTTCGGAAATTCGTCGAGTCGTGGTGGCCCGGACTTTTGGAGATTAATTCGCAGGACAGCGAAACGTGACGCCTGTAAAGTATACATTACGTACACTTCCACTCGGGCTACAGGTTATGCAATAATAATTGTCTTGTACATGTCTATAATATGGATTAAACTTTCTGTGTACAAGTCTCGGGGCAAAAACTTTTTTTGATATGTTTTTCTTTTACGTAAGTCATTCCTGGCCGTATCGTGCGCACGTACTAACCTGTATTAGTTTTCTCCTATCTGTACATAGAAAATTCATGTAAGAATCACGTGCGTGTAGGGAAAAATTAAAAATATCGACAGCTTTATTTTCAAGGACAAATTCTATAGAGCTAGCGAATGAATGAAATATATAGAATGTAATATATAGATACCGCACGCTGAATTATTTCGACTCTTATGCATTATTAGACGTAGTTTTGATCTATATGTAATACTAAGACTTGAGCTGTAAATTAGTGCTTGGACGGTTGTATGGTGGTCAATACTCCAAAACAATCTCAACTATATGTTTAGGAAAGAAGAATCCACAATAATCAGTACCTGTGCGACAAGAAAATATTTCAAAAAACTTGTAGCTTCGTCAAAATTGTGCTTTTAATTATACAATTATTTTGACTTTGCCACTTGCAGATTTACAAATAAAGGTACTCGCCATCTAGTGGTGAATGCTGACTTTAATTACGATTGAACTTTCATGAATTTCTTAAGCATTTTGAATCAAAATGTTGAAATTTTACAATAAAACTAAATCTCACATGTTTTTTTATACCCTAAAAATATTAATAAATGATTTTCAAAAACGATAAACGAATCACTGCAAATCCAAATTTTGAAACACGTGAAGCAACTAGTCAATCTCGGGATTGCGTGATAATTTAAAGTTTTCTTTTTGTCAGGCGTGCACGCGATATATTCCAGCTACTAATACACGTAAAAGGCATTTAAATCGTTATACGTGGCTGCTCTTGAGCATATAAGCAAGATTAAGAGAAGATATAACACAGCAAGGATATAGCTGACTCGATGTACAGTACGTGAAACATAGAAAGAGGGAGAAAGAGCTAGGCTGTATGGCATTATAAGGGTCAGTATACATTTTCACATATGCACATTATGAGCGCGTATATACACACGTATACATACACGTGCGCGTTCTGTATGGGTATACAAAGGACAATAAGCATCTCTGGCCTGATGTGCTTTTCTTCTGTTAAAGAGGGTCATATCGGCTTTTTGTTGGACATTCATACGTGTATGTGACATTTATACCTCTTTATATACGTGTAGCAAATATATACACACGTATGCAGAAGCGGCAAAGGCAGCTATGCGCGAGCTATGATACATCTACCTCGTGTGCGCCAAGAGATCTGCTGTACACACAGAGTAGAGCCGGTGGTACGTGTGTAATAGGAGTAGAGAGAGAGAGAAGAGAGAGAGAACATCATTGCGAAAGAGAAGACTCGCTTATCAGTATTCATAGTCGGATACTTCCCTAGAGAGGAAAAGAGAAGCGAAAGCGCAAGCCTTGGCGCACACGTCTGTAGCCCCTCGTGTAGCGCGCCCAGGTACGGGCGGCAAGTTCAGGTTTTTTGATTGCATCCACTCGATGTAATCTTAACGAGAAAAATCGATTTCCACCCAAGCTATCCTCTTTCTCGTCGTAAAAAAGGATGTTGAGCGATGCTGCCGTATAGCCTGCACAGCCTCTCGATTTGATCCGTCCACGATTAAAGGAATTTCTGCGCCGGTTAAAGTACGTCGAGCAAAAGCCTTTCCACCGATGCATCTACAAATGTATATAAAACGCGCGCGTACATACACTTACAGAGAGCTGTGTAACGCGCTTCTTCTTTGGCCTATTGATTTTGGGCGTCGCTTATCGTCTTCTTGGGTTATTTTGTCGAGTCGACGCTTCTTCTCGCGTTCAAGGCCAAAAATGCAAAATTATGCAATTAAACGGGGAGAAAATTAGTAAGTTTCATCAAAGAAATTAAAAGGATTCTTGATTTTGAAGTCGCGCTATACGTATAGCCGGGGCCAGTATAGCGAGCTGGCAAACTTGGTGCATTTGAGTATATTAAACGATTCAACGCACAAGAGCACTCAAAGAAAAGGCTATAGTGCAGTGCCGATGCAGGAGCCCCGAAAAGGATTTCGCCATCAGCCATTGGAATAAGTAATCAAATTGCAGTCACTTAAAGCTCGGCCCCGCGCGCGCGCGCGACGATGAAAGGTCGATTAGAATTTCAGACCACCGCGAAAAGAGACTTTAAAACACTGCAGCGAATAGTCGGAGTGCAGAGAGCAGCAACTCTGTCTCTCTCTCTCTCTCTCTCTTTTTTTTGATCAACTCGAGCAAGATAATAATGTATATTATAGCGCGGTAGCCGAGCTGGGAATTTTGCGCCATTCGAGTGAGATAAAGCGACATTCTCCCTTGGCATAAAGATGGAAAAATTATCCCGAAGGAGAAATTATCCACTGCGATACATAGGCGGGCACGTTATCACATCAGGGTGTCGCGATATCCGACAAAAAAAAAGAGAGCGAGAGAGAGAGAGAGAGAGATGAAGGGAATGTACTTGTTCTCCGATACGTGATCGCAATGGAGAAACACAGAGTGAGATTCGATGCAGAATACAAATAATCAAGGCAGAGTCGACGCTGCTACATCTCTGCGTGTTGTGCCAGAGCGAGAAAAAGCTGAAAATGTAAATGAAAAAGCAGCGGTAGCAGCAGCGGCAGCGAAGAGAAGAGGCAAAGCATCTATGAATAAAGATTAATTCAGGACAGCGGAGTCGGAGCTGATGCTGCTTCTGGAGCGCCGATGGGATCGGTTGCAGTACGTATCAGAGAGAAATCATGCAACTATTTGCAATAGTACAGCAGCAACGTGTACGGCTGGTAATCGACACACGAGGCTTTTGACAGGATTCTCTGTGCTCGAGAGCTACTGCTGCCGTTGCTTCTTTGCCGCGCGATGTCGAGCAACAAGGGCTTAATTACCGAGCGAAGCTGCACCGAAATTCGTCGACAAGCACTGCATACACGTACGTGCACTCACATACACATTCGGATACACGATGTATTACTAGCGAAACGAGCTTTCTCGATCATTCGAATGCTCGCGTGAAAAACGAATTTAACAAGCTGCCTCGGAGTAGACCGTATAAGCTGCGGCTCGGGAGCCAGGGGCGTGCGCGACGTTCGATATAATGTATACACAGGCGCGCGCGTGTTTTTATGCAGGAATCGATATTTTAAAGAAGACAGTTTGTCCGATGCCGATACCTATTAATGGAGAACGAGAAAGAAAGGATAGACTGGATAGTATGAATGGGGTTAAAGAGCGTGCTATACTCACCCACGCACGCACACATGTACTCGGCTCGAGCTGCAGCTGCAGGTACAGAGAGAGAGAGAGAGCGAGTCGGAGCCGCAGTCGTAGCAGTCGCAGCAACATCAGCGAGGCTTTTAGCTTCGAAACAATGGACAGACACTTGCTGGATCGGTAACAATGCATTGGAAAACTGCGCACTTGATAAAAGACTTTGTACTCTCGTGCTCGGCTCTCTTCAGCCCGATCCCAGTCCACCCCCGCGCCTCTATATATACAGCTATATATTATGTCATAATACGCGCGCTGCTGCTCTGGACTAAATACAAAAATATCGTGCCTTTTTTTAAGTAAACGCGGCGCAAATATATTTAGCCGCTGCTCTCGAGGCCCGAGGTAATATTGTTTTGTAAATAGACAAGCGAAGATACGTGGAATAGTTAACGTTAGCAGGCGTATTGCATCGAGATAATTGGCACTTCCGTAGTAGTGAAGCGTCGTCGTCGTCGCTGCTGCCGCTGCTCTACTACCGTGTGGCCTTCACTCGCTTCTCGGTTGCTGCTTTATGTATACCCGCGCCACGTTCCTTCTCTTTCTCGGTGCTCCATCAGTTAACTCAACTGAATTACCTTTGCTCTTGTGAGTCAATCTCTCTCCCTTTTCTGCTACAAAGCCATAGAGCCCAGAGAATGTCTTGTATATCTGACAAAATTTATAAGAAGTTGTTGTTGTATACACGCGCCTGACAATGTGTGCGTATAAATTGCATTTATAGGGCTCGAGCCCAACATAGAGAGGGAAAGAAAGAGATGAATCTATATGAAGGGAAGTTTTTTGAAAGTGAAAAATTTATTATTTCCATTCCAGTAAAAGCAGACCTTAAAGTTTTAGCCCGCTCTGACGGTTTTGCCTCTTTCTCTCTCTCTCTCTCTCTCTCTCTCTCCTGCGAGTAAAAATAAGCTTAATTAAAACTGTCAGTTCTTGCGTTTTCGTGAAGTATGTTTGCGTGGGCCGTTGCCGCTTCGTATTCAACGCGCTGCACTTCATTAAACTACCCTCTCTCGCTCAAAAGGAGCTGTGTACATTTTTAAATGATGGAAATTAATCATGCTGCTAATAAATGACGAGTCGCGCTATTTTTCGAATGTCGCCCAAGCTGGTAGTTACATAGGATTATATATAATATATCCAAACCGCCGCGCGGCCAAAGTTGGCTATACGGGCTCTCGGACTCGAAGCGCGACTTTCCCTTGATTGTGGATAGATTCTGTGATTAGTTCTGAAGTATATTTAGCGTAATTAACGTTACCCGCTGGGATTTTAAAACATTTCGCTGATTAGAAGCGCTCCAGAAAATTCTCACTTTCGCGCCAGGCGAGCTATATTACGAAGGGATTGTAAGTTAATAGATCGGCTCGGCCGTCACGGCTGTAGGAGTATTTGTTTACCGTGGCATGGCTTAAAATTAAAATCGAACGATGTGTGATTAAATATCGAGGACTTTAAAACATTCTCAATTTCTATATGGATTTTAATCAGTGGAGATTACGAGTGTAATTAAATTTCGAAAATCAAAGGGTTTTAAAGTGAACCAATTACACGAGCTAAAATACCTGCAAAACTAATTGAGAAACTCATCGTTCGCTAGTCGTTTTATCGTCTTTTCAATCAAAATTTAACGACACACACGCGAAACTGTAAGTCGGTGCGTGGCTGCATACGTACACGATCGACATAAGATAGGAATCGTACTTTCGTAATCAAATTCGGCAAAAGTCTAGAATCGAACGTTTCTCACGAATGTGCATTTGGTTTGCTCGTTTTGCAGAATATAGCAGTCATGCGCTACAGGTGACTGGACGCACACACGCACTCAGCAGCAGCAGCAGAAGCAGAATTTGCCCGCAGGCATCATGGAGTCAGATTACAACACGACGGAGAGCAGTATCGGCAGCATCTTCAACGCCACATCCGTCGCCAGCATCAACAATTCCTTCATCGAAAAATGGTGAGTCGCAGCGCGTCAATAATATTCTTATTAAATTATTCCTTACGCGTTTGTAAAGGCTGATTTTTCTTCCAGTCGAGAGAGAGAGAGAGAGACGCCGCAAAGTTATTCGCTACACGGCGATGACTTGTGTCGGCTTGCAAGACGGAGAGAGAGAGAGAGTAGCTTCTTATACTGATACTGTTCGTCGAGTCGAGCAACCTTATAGGCAGCCGAGAGACATATCTTTATCCATTTCAGTCTCGCTGAGCTACTTTAAAGTTTGCGGCTTGAAGTTCTCTCTATCTCTCTCTGTCTCTCGTTCTCTCTCACCCTCGCGCGTCGGTCATGTGTACGGCAACCTACTTTTGAGGCGTGCGCGTGCTAACACGCCTCATTTGGTCGTTTGTCTGCGTTTGTCTCGCCCAAAGAACATCGGCATTAAATTTCAACTTTTCCTGAACTGACAATTATATATTGTATACCTGTGCACAGTCGCTGAGTATAGTCTCCACTCCCCCCTTCCTCCATCCCTTTGAGTTGGAGCTTTTATAACTCGGGTATAAGCTTTGACTCGCACAGCTCCTGCCTCTGTTGCGGCATTATTTATTTAATTCAATCAACTTTATATATACTGTATATATACGCTATATGTCGTTTATATTGAAATAAATAAAATCAAACGGGTTTACGTGCGCCACGGCAATCGTAACGAGCATGTGTCGTGCTCCTACCTACATAAGCATACATAAATGCAGACAGAAAAGCTGCTAATATTTAATTGATTGACACAATTTACTATGCTTTTTTTGGCGTCTCATTATTATGTTCCTCCTTGCTCGATGATTCGGACGTTTTTTTTTAAACTAGCACAGAATGTTTATTGACGGATCGCGATCGAGAGTATTTGAAAAAAGAAATAAACTCTGGACTTAACCATAAGTATTATATAAAGTAAGAAAAGCTTCATCTCGTTTCACGGAAAAGAAAAGAAAATTGTTCGTTCGATATAGCGCGTTGCGAGCTTTGTCTATACAGCACAATACAACAGAGAAAAATCGTTCTTAAATATTTGAGCAAGTGGATCTCGACGCGCGGCGATGATCGCATCCTTGACCTGCGCGCATGGCGAGGTATTTTTTCGGAGTCACGCCATAATGCTGCTTGCTCGCTCGCAACGATCGCGCCAAGTAGTATAACCTTTTTGCATGTTTTTCCCATTTTTTGCGAAAGCGGCCAATGTCGAGTGGCTGAAAAATTCGCGACGGCTTAATCACGCAAAGCCCGCCGTATACGTGTGTGTGTACAAGTACACACGACATTCCATTGACCGCGAGTATTTTTTTTTCTCTCTCTCGCTCGACTGGTCTTTGCTTGCCCCCTCTCGAATACACGCCCCTTCGATGATGTATATCGATCTCCGGCGGCAGGAACCGCATATATACATTCGCCACGCGGCTCTCGCGTATACACAATTAGACGTATTCGTGTTTGCGCTGCGGGGTGTGTAGGTATATGTAGGTGAGCCGTCGATAAATATTCACGTGAGCTCGAGGAAAAAAAAAGGGAAGAAAAAAAATAGCAGTTCACAATAATCGCCACCTCGGGTCATTAGGCTAATTGTGGACTCGGGTCGCGCTCGCGCTACGATTGTCCCGTATAATATACACGTGTGCGCGAAAAATCGCTCCCCTGTACCGACAAAACGTTTATAAGCGTCGCACACGACACGACTCGTACCTACATAATCGACAGTTATAATTGAGCGAGTTTTTGATGTGCCGAGGAATGGCTCCGAGTAGTCAGCCATGTATGCCGTGCCTTTGAATCTCTTTGATCGGGCGTCAATCTTGAAGCACGAGGCAGTGTAAAAATTGAATTTGTTGCATAGTGTATTAGCAAAGCACATACCGCTTTCTCTTTTGCTCCTATATGTTTTCTCGCTCGCTCCCTCCCTTAGCTTCTCTCTCTCTCTCTCTTATGTCTTTTCAACGACTTTGAAAGCAAAGTTAGTCTAGTGATGTTGAGATGAGACTCGAGGATGAGCAGCTCGCCGAGTGCTGTGCTGTGCCACGCTGCCTGTAAGTCCTAAATTGTACGCGCGAGCGAAACTTTGCGTCCTGATTTCAGCGACGTGAGCAGCAACACAATGCGCGCGAGCTCTTATATACCAATGGCAGCAACGGCAGCAGCAGCAGCGGCTCGTACACACAAAACATGTATTATACGTAAACGCGATCGGTTTTGCGCGATTCATACTCAATTCGACACGGCTCGGCGTTTTTTAATAATAATTTTTTTGTTATCTTCTTTCATTCGTTGGATTCGTTTCTTTATTTTTTTTTTATTTATTTCGTTTGTTTTTTATTCACGTACTCGTTGATGGGGTCAGCTATCGTTCATCAATGCTACGTACATTCAGCGGAATATGAGCCACAGATAGAGAAAAAAACTTTTTTCATTAGTTTGATGGTTTCTGCGGCTGTGTGCAGAGCCGCGGTCGAATCGTTGTTGTTTTGCTCCACCGCGTGTCTTCCGCATATCGAAATGTCGCGATTGGACAGAATACATTTTTTCCCTGCGCTCTAGTCTCGTTACATAAATGTCTAATCATTCGGATTTCGAAAGGTGGAAAAATCACGTCGACGACGAAGTTGCGCCTTTGAGAAAAGTTAGCCAGTCAAGTTTAATAGAGTAACGTTATTTTTTCTTCATTACGCTCGAGCCTCGCTCCCTCCTGTCCATATTTTTTCTCTTTTTCAGCTCTTATCCTGCGCGAATATAATCTCGCGAGGTGAATGAAAATCTTGAAAGATATAAGATAGGCGCGCTATCCTAGACTAGCTATATGAGCAATTCCGGAATTTAGTTTCGAATTTTTTGACTAAAAACGGAAAAAAATTTTTTTCGTTGGACGCATACTATGAACCCTGGGTATTGTTCTTGAAGGTCCAAGGAAGCTAAAGAAATGCGTGAACATGAAATTTAAGCATAGGTAATTAATTTTTTCTGGCTACTTTTGTATTTTAGGGCCCGAAAAGTCATGTTTTCGCGTAAATACGAAAATTCACTCAATTTCTAAGTGGCTGAAAAAGTATCAAAACACATTTAAAAAAAGTGACTGACTACTCCATTCGATAGGAAATTATCTCAGCTTTACGGTTGTGATTTCAGATTTTTCGATACATTGCATATTCACCGAGAAAATCATCACCAAATATGCCGAGCTAAATATCTCGAAAAATTCAGTACGAAAAAAGTGAACTTTTTGGTTTATTTTTGATTTTTTCTCATGAAAATTGAATATTTCGAAAAATCTGATACTACTACGAAAAATCGGATGAAAAATACAATCGAAGCCATATTTTCATTTATTTTTTCCGTCGAATTATAATGATATACAAGCCAATTTCTTTTACTGTATTCGCTGTTTTCTGTTACGGAACTGTTTTAATCGTGATCGCGAAGTTTTCAGCGTTGCGCGGCTTGCTACAATCAAAACTCGTTCATAATTCGACGGAAAAAATAAATGAAGATATGGCTTCGATTGGATTTTTCCTCAGCTTTTTCATGGCAGTATCAGATTTTCCGAATTATTCAATTTTCATCAGAAAAAATCAAAAAGAAACCATAAAAAGCTATTTTTCCGTACTGATTTTTTCCAGATATTTAGCTTGGCAAGTTTTGTGATGATTTTCTCGGAGAATATGCAATGTATCGAAAAATCTGATATCACCATCGGGAAGCTAAGAAAATTTCCTATCGAATGGAGTGGTCAGTCATTTTTTTTAAATGAGTTTTAATACTTTTTCAGCCACTTAGAAATTGAGTGAATTTTCGTATTTACGCGAAAACATGACTTTTCGGGCCTTAGAACACAAAAGTAGCCAGAAAAAAATTACCTATCTTTAAATTTCATGTTCACGCATTTTTTTAGCTTCTTAGGACCTTCAAGAACAATACCCAATGTTCATAGTATGCGTCCAACGAAAAAATTTTTTTTCCGTTTTTAGTCGAAAAATTGGAAACTAAATTCCGGAATTGCTCATATACACGGCCAATTCACGAACGAACCTTCGAGCTAGCTCATCGCAGTCATTATTTTGAGAAGGAGCGGATTATTATATATTAACGGCAAGCGATGCGCCGCTTTTTCATAATCTTGAAAATCGTTATAACTCTAGTGTATCAAATGGTAAGCAGAAGAGAAAGTAGGAGAAAGAGGGAGCAAAAATAGGATGGGGTATAATCACCATCAAATTTTATTGTTTTCGCTTTTATTCATTCCTCTGTATGTATGCGTGCCTTAAAAGATTGTACATAAAAGTCAATACTGACGCATTGAATGCACTCTCGCATATGGTCGATGCCTGCACCTATACATATATAGACTTATAATGTCGCTTGACAGCAGCTGTTATTTATGAGACTCGAGCTACTTCACGCGCGTATACTTATCATTGAGTGCCTATTTCCAACAAATCGTACACATTTTTTTTTTGCAGTACGCGCAAATCGTCAAGTACATATTATAGATCCAGATTTATATAGAAGAGCAGCGAGAGAAATTGAAAAAAATCTCGCGCGAACCTCTCGCCTTTTTTTCATTTCCTGCTAAATTGCGTCTTCTGGAATTTACAAGGAAATCGCTAAAGATAAAAAATGTTATATAAGCCACGATCGGGCAGGAAGAAAAAAATGATAGTTTCAGAGGATATACGTAATAAAATTGGCTGGTTGTGTAAGGACAGAAAAAAGCTCGATATTTTTACCCCCAAACTCTATATAGTCGATGATATTCTTTGTCGTATACACATGAGACGTCTCGTTCTCGTGTGTGCTTGATTAAAGATGTTCCCTGCGCTAGTCAAAGCCTTCCATAGACGACGACGACGACTACGCCGACGAGGAGTGCGCGCGATCGAGCTTGCGCCGGCAACTCGTCCTTTCAAATGCTGCACTACCACAGACGCACTGCAGCAGCACCTCCAACGTGCAAAACTGACACTCTTGTCATTGAT